TCATTGCAGCATGCGGGATCTAGTTCCCTGACCAGGGATCGAACCCGGGCCCCCTGCATTGGGAGCTCGGAGTCTTAGCCGCTGGACCACCAGGGAAATCCCCTCGTGGGTTTGCTTTGAGGAATAAATTTGACCCACTATGTAAATCACATGGCATTATTGCTTTAATTCTTATTAAGTGTTCCTCTATTCATAGTTACCATCATTACAATGACTATAGCATTTAGCTTGTTTCCATTCTTTGCTTTTATAAACCACAATTCAAGAACATCCTTGAATATATATTTTTGAGAACATGTGTGATTATCTTCGCAGGATAAATTTCTGAAAGAGAAATTTCTATGTCATAATGTAAACATATTGAAGGCAACCCTCCTACACTGTTGGTGGGAATGTAAATCGGTACAATCCACTAGGGAGAACAGTATGGAAGTTGATTAACAAAGTAAACATGCAAGTACCATGTGACCCAGCAATCCCAATCCTGGGCCTAGATCCGGAGAAAACCGTAGTTTTAAAAGACACGGGCACCCCAACGATCATGGCAGCACTATGTACAATAGCCAAGACATGGAAGCAACCTAAGTGTATAAGGACAGATGAATGCATAATGAAGATAGGATACATATACACAATGGAATATTACTCAGCCATAAAAAGGATGAAATAATGCCATTTCCAGCCACAAGGAAGGAAGTGAAACAGGAAAAGACAAGTATCCTATGATATCACTTACAGGTGGAATCTAAAAATGGATACAAATGAACTTCTTTACAAAAGAGAAACAGCCTCACAGATTTAGAAAAGAAACTTACGGTTACCAAAAGGGGAAGGTGGTGGGCAGGGAAAAATGAGCAGGTTGAGATGAACATATACACACTACTATTTATAAAATCATCAACAAGGGCCCACTGTATAGCACAAGGAACCCTAATCAACACTCTATAATAACCTATATGGGAAGAGAACCCAAAAAAGGACATATATACATCTATGCATAAGTGAGTCAAGTTGCTGTACACCTAAAATAACAAAACACCCTGCAACATTGTAAATTACCTATACACCAATACAAAATAAAAAAATTTTAATGTAAATGTACTGAAATTGAGACATTTTGCATAGTGACCTTTGAAATTTTTGCACCAGTTTTCAATCCCATCAACCTTTATGACAGTATACTCTCCCTAAATTCCTGTCAATACTCTCCTCATACTATTATCTTTGCCAAGATGATAGATTTTAACTTATTCCCATTCCTTATTCCACATCTGCATTTTTCTTTACGTTTATTTGTTATATATTTGTTTGACATTTGCATTTATTTTCCAAATTGTTTTCTAATACACTTTAATTACGTTTTGTTTGGGATTTAGTTGTTTTAAACACTGAATTCAGGAAGGACAAAGCAGCCTCCAACATCAGAAGCTGGTCTGACGTTTACCTTAGACCTCAGCGTTGCCAGAAGCTGGGCTGGTGCTCACCACGCAGCCGTGTTCTTCTCCTGTTGGACATACGTCACCCCACAGAACATCAACATCAGACAGGGACACCTGAGACCATGACACAGTGAGACAAAACAAGACCACGACATCATTCTGTCCAAGCACAGACCAAACAAGGCAGCACTGTGCACCTCACAATGTATCAAACCTCTCCCTGTGCTGATACCAGCAACCACGGCTTCTTTCCAATCACAGTTGCATCCTCACTCTAGTCTTTCCTCCTTACAGGGAAGATTCACCGACATGCCCAGTCATAGAATTGCCCCCACTTCCTGACAACACCCAATCTAGAGTGAGCCCCTCCTCCATACACCCTTCTCCAAATCACCCAACCAGAGCCCACTTCCTGTATATGTTCTATCACCTCACACTAAGACACCATGGTCCCTGATGGTGTGTCATCTCCCTCGCTGCATCCAGTAATAAATCCAACTTGTTTGCCCACAGATGTTCTCCTGGTGGTCTTTGGCTGAAAATCATTGCTACCTGTTTGTCAATTTTTTTGTCTTTGAGTTTGATAAGGGCATGTGTTAGTATCTTTGTGAATGTCTGTTTGACATAGAGAAAATTTATGACTTTTTAGTGGTTTTTCACCTTTGGGTCATACAACTCTTCATTCCCCAAATGTAAAAAATTCATGTATTTTTTTGTCTAGGAGAGAGGGGTCCAAGGGTGAAGGGAAACAGAATTGATTGAATTTGGGGGGAACGAATAGCAGGAATAGTCAGTAAAGAATTCTAAGGTGGTGGATTCTAAGGTTTCCATCTCCTGCTTTATAATTTCACAAGTAAGTACAGGTCCTACAAGGTATTTGATATATGCTGTGTTCAGTGAATACTTTCTCTTGGGCTAAGTGAAGACTTCAGTGTCTGCTTATATTTACCAGGTTAATGAAAAGAACAGCAAGAGCTCAAGGTTAGAAAGACAAGAATTAGCTCCAGAGATGGGCAGTCTTGAACACATATGACCTTAAGGCGATAAACCACGGTGTCCTTAATGTCTGAACACTCTAGTTGTTAAAATACATGTTAATGAAACTTTCTGCGCATGCTGCATTTTAAGGATATATCTAAGACCCACATAGACAAGTCCATGATTTCCATATGAAGGTTATTTTAATATGCATCAACTTATGAGTCACACAGTATCTTTTTGGGGGAAGAGACTGGAAATTAAGAACATTATAGATATGCAATGCCCAATAGGCTAGCTACTAGCCACATATTTAATGTTATTTAAACTAAATAACATTAAGGTGCTTAGCACAGTAGCCACTTTTTTTTTTTTTTTTTTTTTTTTTTGGTTCCCGTAGTGGCTTCCTGATTTTGACAGTACAGATATAGAACAATTCCTTCACCACAGAACATTCTATTGGACAGGACTGCTCTTCATGCTTTCTGGGCCTCAAGTCAGATATACTGGACCCATGAAAGAGCCAATATTATTTCTCTTAGAGACGATATCAGATTTCTGTCTGGGATATGAATACATACTTAGCTGGTGTGTAACAAAACCAAACTAGGTTATGAGTGGGTACGGTGCCGTCAGGCGCAAACTGTTTCCAGGTCCAAAGGGGAAACACCTGTCCCCCTACCCCCCTTCCCAGAATGAGGACACTCTCTGGGATCAATTTCCAAGGGGTAAGTTCTCTCCTAGAGGAGCCCCGGGGGCAGGGCCCTCAGCTAAGTGTGGGGAGGCAGGGAGTCCAGCTCAGGGAGAGGGATTCTCCAAAACGAAGAGGAGGCAAAGGCAAGGGTCAGTTAGGAGATTTTCCCAGGTTTATTCGAACAGCAGCTCTCAGAGTGTGATCTGTGGGACCCTTGAAGTCACTGAGACCCTTTCATGAGATCCATGAGGTGAAATCTACTTTCGTAGCATTACTAAGATATTATTTGACTTTCCACTATGTTGACATTTGCTTTGAGGTATAACTTAGCAGTGATGGAGACTACTGTAGCAAACTGCAATGTAATTATTTTCACCACAACTTACTTGCAGAAAAAAAAAGCAGGTTTGCTTTAAAACATTCTGGTTGATGCATTACAAATTTTTATCTTTCCTTAATAAGCTATAATGGAAAAGAAAATGAAAAAGAATGTATATACACATGTATAGCTGAACCACTTTGCTGTATAGCAGAAATTATCACAACATTGTAAAGCAACTATACCTCATTAAAAAAAAGTTTTAAAAAATACATAAAAATTCTTTTGTTTCCTAAATCATCCTTAAATCCACTTTTTTTTTTTGGCCACGCCCCACAGCATGTGGGATCTTAGTTACCTGAACAGGGATTGAACCCTTGAACCCAGGCCATAGCAGTAACAGCTCTGAGTCCTAACCACTGGACGGCCAGGGAACTCCCTTAAATCCACATTTTAAAAGTACCTTCTAAGATGACATGGGAAGTACCCATCAAGCCCTTTTGCTACATTCCAAAGTACTATGTCCCAAGGAAAATAATTTGTGTGACCTGAACTACCCTCTTCTTCATGGAATACAATGTTTACTTGAAAGAATGAATGACACTGGAAGATCTATATAACTTAGTGAAACAACGTATTACTTTTTTAAAATCTTACGTTAGTACAAGAGACATTCAATGTGCAAAATAGGGTTATGGAGTTTAACGTAACAGAATAGGAAAGAGTTAATAATATTGTTTCAGGTCCACTTTGAAAATAACCTTTGAGAAACTACCACTTGTGTAGTTTTCGTTTTGTATCAAAGACTAACATCCATGACTGTCTGAAAAGGTTTTTAAAAATACTACTCCCACATATGTGTGGGCCTTTTTATTTTCATAGACTTCAGTCAAAATAATGGATTCATTGAAGAAGCAAACATGAACATCCAGGGGTCTTCTAATGAGACAGACAAGAAACAGAGAGACTTGCAAAAATATAAAAATCTGAAAAGCTCCACTTTTCCCACTACCGTGTTTATTTTGGGAAGTAGTTATTTTTCACATTAACTCATGGGTTATTAATATTATTCTAAATAAATTAATTTAAAAAATTTAAACTCTATTATTTATACTTTGGAAAGTACCGATAGAAGTATCCACATGAACAAAATTATCTTTGGGGCCGTCACTAGTTTGTACGGCTGTATAAATATTCTGACCACAATGTTGTGAAAATCGCTGACTACACAGTCCCTGGGCCAGGACTCAGGGAGACACTGTGACAAAGAGCTCTCGGTGCAGGAGGGGAGGGATCAGGCAAAGTCCCAGGTCCCGGGAGGGGCAGGCTCTCAGGCTCTCAGGGTGTCAGGCGGTCTCTGGGACGGGGACGCCCCGTGGTGGGGATTCCCAGTCTCCCCGAGTTTCACTTTCTCTCTCACAACCTGTGTCGGGCCCTCCTGCCTGGACAGTCGTGACGCGACCCCACTTCTCACTCCCATTGCGTGTCCGGTTTCTGAAGAAGCCAATCAGCGTCCCCGCGGTTCCCGGTTATAAAGTCTCCGCCGCACTCAGTTTCTCCCCAAACCCGGAGGATGCAGGTCGTGGCACCGCGAGCCCTCTTCCTGCTGCTCTTGGGGGCCCTGGCCCTGACCGAGACCTGGGCGGGTGAGTGCGGGGTCGGGAGGGAACGGCCCCTGCGGGGAGGAGCGAGGAGACCCCGGGGGTCGGGGGCCAGGACTCCCAGGGAAGGAGCCACGCCGCCGCCCCCGGTCCAGACCCGCCCCCTCACCCCGGTCCCCGCCTGTTCCCTCTCGTGCTTCCCGCCCCCTCTTCTCTCCCCACGGGGTGCCGGCCCTTCTCCGACCTCCACACCTTTTCCGTCTCACGAGCCCCTCGCCCCCACCCCCTCCCGACCCCGTCACCTCGGACCCGGGGACCCGCGCCGGGAGGAGGGTCGGACCGGGTCTCACCCCTCCCCGCCCCCAGGCTCCCACTCCCTGAGGTACTTCCTCACCGGGGTGTCCCGGCCCGGCCGCGGGGAGCCCCGCTTCATCGCCGTCGGCTACGTGGACGACACGCAGTTCGTGCGGTTCGACAGCGACGCCCCGAATCCGAGGGGTGAGCCGCGGGCGCCGTGGGTGGAGCAGGAGCGGCCGGAGTACTGGGAAGAGGAGACGCGGATCTTGAAGGACGCCGCACAGATTTACCGAGTGAACCTGAGCACCTTGCGCGGCTACTACAACCAGAGCGAGGCCGGTGAGCGACGCGGGCCCGGGTCCGAGTCACGACCCCCATCCCCAGGGACGGGCCGGCGTCGCCCCGAGTCTCCGGGTCCGAGGGTCACCACAACATTGCGGGACCCGCCCGGTCCCCCGACTCGGGAGGAAACGGCGGGACTTTACCCGGTTTCATTTTCCGTTTGGGTTTAATCGCTGCGGCTGGTCGGGGCGGGGTCAGGGTCTCACACCCTCCAGGAGATGCGCGGCTGCGACGTGGGGCCGAACGGTCGCCTCCTCCGCGGGTACAGACAGTACGCCTACGACGGCGCCGATTACATCGCCCTGAACGAGGACCTGCGCTCCTGGACCGCGGCCGACGCGGCGGCTCAGATCACCAAGCAAGAGTGTGAGGCGCCCGGTGTTACAGAGCAACACAGGAACTACCTGGAGGGCACCTGCGTGGAGTGGCTCCTCAGATACCTGGAGATCGGGAAGGACACGCTGCAGCGCGCAGGTACGAGGGGCCGCAGGGCCTCCCTGGTCTCCCCTCGGGCTGGGGCTGGCTTCCCACAAGGGGAGGAAATGGGGTCCCTGTGGGAACACCACCCCAACTTCTTGTCGGGAGAGGGAGGAATCCACCCAGCTTTTCATATTCTGTACAAGACAGTGACTCACCGGTGTTCATTCTCAGGATGGTCACATGATGCTGCTTCAGTGGCCCATGAAGGTAACACTAAGTGTGAATTTTCTGCTTCTTCCCCCTCAGACCCTCCAAAGACACACGTGACCCATCACCCCATCTCTGACCGTGAGGTCACCCTGAGGTGCTGGGCCCTGGGCTTCTACCCTAAGGAGATCTCACTGACCTGGCAGCGGGATGGGGGGGATCAGACCCAGGACATGGAGCTTGTGGAGACCAGGCCTTCAGGGGACGGAACCTTCCAGAAGTGGGCGGCCCTGGTGGTGCCTTCTGGAGAGGAGCAGAGATACTCGTGCCATGTGCAGCACGAGGGGCTTCAGGAGCCCCTCACCCTGGGATGGGGTAAGGAGGGACGTGAGGGGTGGAGCTTCCTCTCAGATAAAGCAGGAGCCCTCCTGGACATGTTCAGCAAGTCGGGATTCAAGCCTGAGGTCAGGGTCCCTTCCCTTTCCTCCACAGAACCTCCTCAGCCCACCGTCCCCATCAAGGGCCTCATTGTTGGCCTGGTTCTCTTGGTGGTCACTGGCGCCGTGGTGGCTGGAGCTGTGATCTGGAGGAAGAAGCACTCAGGTAGGGAAGGGAGGGAGGGATCTGAGTTTTCTTGTCTCACCGGGGGTTTCAAGCCCAGGTAGAAGCTTGCCTGCATGTGTATTGGGCGGTACCATTCAGAAACATTGCTTGCCAGTCTGCAGATTGGCACCTATCCTTTTGTAAAGCCCATGTGGAAATGAAAGACAGATTTTTTCACCTTCATAATTCCAGTTGGGGACCAGATTACCAGCACTTGAAGGTCAGAGAGGGAAGGTTCCTGCTAAGGACAGACTCCCAGGAGGTAAGAAGTTGATCCAGTCCCCCGACATCTCCTTTCTTCATGTTCCTGATCCTATCATGGGTTTTGGTCAACAGTTCTGGAAAGTTCTCTGTGGTCCAGGACTAGGGGGTTCCTCTAGGGTCTCACAACTCAGTCTTCTCCCTGGCCTCTCACGTGATGTTTTCTTCTTACAGGTGAAAAAGGAGGGAGCTACGCTCAGGCTGCAAGTAAGTGTAGAGGGGCTGTGATTCCAGAGACCCCTGTGAGGGTGCAGACAGGAGGCCATGGGCGGGCTCACCCTCCTAAAGTTCCTTCTCTAGTTTCTCTCCTGTGGGTTCTGACCACGTCCTGGTTTTGTTCTTCCCCAGGCAGTGACAGTGCCTAGGGCTCTGATGTGTCTCTCACGGATCCTAAAGGTGAGACCCTGGAGGGCCTAGATTGGGAGAGATGTTGGGGTGGAGGAGATGCCCCAGGTGGTGGGGATCCTTGAATGGGACATTTGAGCATGTGGGGGGCTGTTGGGAAGGTCAGCACTTACATGACTGACCTGAATTTGTCCATGATTATTTTCTTTCATAGTGTGAGACAGCAGCCTCGTGGGACTGAGTGATGCACGGTCCCACTTTTGTGGCTTCAGATCCCGTGACTCCTCTTTCTGCAGCTGCATCTGAATGTGTCTGTGTTCCTCATAGCATAATGTGAGGAGGTGGGGAGACTGGCCCACCCCTGCCCACCATGACCCCTCCCCACCCTGACCTGTGTTCTCTTCCCTGATCCACTTGCCTGTTCCAGCAGAGGCAGGGCTGGGCCACCTCCATCCCTGTCTTAACTTCGTGTTCCACTGAGTAATAATGTTGGAAATAAAATCTGTATATGAATTTTGTTTTTTCGAATTCCTGCCATGAGGCGTTGATGGGATAATAAAGGAAAGGATTCTTAAAGTTTGAGAAAAATAAATGGAAGTGCTGAACCTTCCAGAATCTGTGTGCTTGCTGTGCTCTGTCTGCTGCAGGTGGGACAGGAGGAGGCGGTGAGTAGCTGAGCGTGGACGCAGCCTGTGCCCACTCCGTGCTCACTGCATCATGGGCTTTGATGTGGTCACTGCTCTGCCATGTCATCTGCTTTGTTCCTTTGTCCTCGTCAGTTCAGTAGAACCTTGTCCCACCAGGACCTGTGATCTCAGAGGCTCAGAAATCACCTGGGCCTTGTACTGTCTCCAGGACTGTGGGCAGCAAGGGCTTCCTGTAACCAGGTAGCCTTGGCTCGGACCTTGCTCCCATCCTCGGACCCTGTCTTTATCGTGCGTGTTTATATTTTGCTTATTTAGTTATTGTTGTTGTTGGAATAATGTCTGTTGTTTTTCATGTGCAGAGTTTGGTCTCATTCTTCTCTGGGTGTCCCAATCTCTGGCAGCAGCCGGAGTCATTTTGCCTGTCTTGTCCCCACAAGTCCAAGGGGGCCCTGCACACAGGATTCTCAGTAGTACCAAGAGAGCAATTTTCAGCCTCATCCAGCTCTTGCCCTCCTTCTAGAGATGTCTGCTCGATTCTTCCTTCCAGCTTTTCCCCATCTTTTAAAAGGAACCAGATTCTGGAATTAGGAAACAGAAGGGACCCAATAGTCTCTCATCTTGACTTAATTCTTGCTGCATTTCTCTCTTCTCTGCAGCCTGGCCCCTCTTCTGCCCTTAGATCTTCTAAGCCTAGTGCTGACTCCAATCCAAACTGATAGATTTAGAAAGCAGAGTCTAATAGAGTCAGGGTACGTTGGAATATAGGACCCATAGGCGCAGGATATTCTTTTCTGAAGCGAGAAGGAGCATGGTGTGTGGTGTGCAGACTGATTGGTGTGGGAGGGAGGGGAGATCAGCCCTTGTGAGAAAAGTACAGGCAGCATTGATGTCATTGCGAATGGATGTTGTGCTGTAGCTGCCACAAGACAGCATGTGGCCTGAGGTCACGTTAATAAAGACACTGTCTCGGGCTTCCCTGGTGGCGCAGTGGTTGAGAGTCCACCTGCCGATGCAGGGGACAGGGGTTCGTGCCCCGGTCTGGGAATATCCCACATGCCGCGGAGCAGCTAGGCCCGTGAGCCATGCCCGCTGAGCCTGCGCGCTCCGCAATGGGAGAGGCCGCAACAGTGAGAGGCCCGCGTACCAGAAAAATAAATAAATAAATAAATAAATAAATAAATAAAGATGCTGTCTCTAGAATAGGGAGATGCTCTACACTGATCATTCATTCAATTGATATTTTTGTGTGCCAGATACATGACACCCTATTTTTGCATCTAGGAAACCTCAGGGAACTAACAACAGACAAAACTTGTCAGCCATGTGGAGTATATGTTCTAGGGGAAGGGGCAGAGTGTGCACTATGAAACTAGTAAGTAAGGGAAGTGTTTACATTAAAAGTTGGTAAGAGCTTTGAGGAAGGTGACCCAGCGTGTAAGTGTGTGGGGACAGGGATGATGTCTGTTTTACTAGGGTGGTCAGTGTGGGCCTCATTGAGAAGGTGACCTTTGAGTAGAGATGTGAAGGACATGAAGATATGTCCACGAGGATGTCTGGGGCAAGTTCTCTCCAGGCAAGGGAGCCTCCAGTGCCAGTGCACGAGGGCAGGGAAGTGTCTGCGTGTTCAAGGAAGAGTGAGGAGGCCATCGTAGCTGGAGGAGAGAGGAGTTGTGATGAGATACAGTGTCCAGACAGATCATATAGACCTAGACAATATTAGAAGGGTTTTGATTTTGTCTGAGTAAGATGCGGAGTTTACATGATGGTTTGAACAGAAGACTGACCTGGTGTGACTACTCTCTAGAAACATCTGGCTGCTGGGCAGAATCAGGAGGTGAAGGGCAAGAGATTCCATAGAGGAAACTAGGAAATGGTGCAGTGTCCAGGCTGGAGATACTGGTGCTTGTCTGGGGTGTGAGCAGGGAAAGTAATAGTAACTGATTGGATTCTGGATATATTCTGAAAATGGCATTTTACAGCAATTCCTAATGGATGAAATTTGTGTTATAAGAAAGCAGAATGAAGGAAGACCCCAAATTTTGAGATTTGCAAGTAGACATGTGGGGCACCTTCCGCAGAAATGGGGAGACTCTGGAAGCAGCATATTTGAGGAGGCGGCAGCACTGGCATTTGCTTTAGGAAAGTGCAAACTGAGTCTGGGGTTCAGGTGAGATGACTTGGCTGGAGAAATAGTTGGAGGAGGTGACACCCTATAAATGAGGTTTAAAGCTTTGCGAACAGATGAGGTCACCAGGGGAGAATTGGCTACAGAAGAGGAAGGACAAGGACTGAACCCTGGACCCCCCAGTGCTATGCGATCTGATCAGACCACACACCCGAGCAGACCGCACGGTTCTGAACACCGAGTCTAGACAGCAAAGAGAGCAGGGGGTCCCGAACTTCCTGTGCACCACCTGCACACCTCAGGTGGGAGGGAGCCTGAGAATCTGCATTTTAGACAAGTTTGGTGCTGATGTTGCTGGTCTTCAGATCACACATTTAGTAGCAACAATGTAGACCAGGATTCCCACGTGGCTGTGCATCAGCCTCACCTGTAGGGCTTGTTCATAAGGGATTCCTGGACCTCATGCCCACATTCTGAGATGGTGGGTCGGGGAAGAGGCCTGAGTACTTTGTCAGAATCCCTACAAGCAGTCCTGAGGCTCAGGCAGATTGGGATCCACTGAGGTCAGGGATCAGAGAGTAATCAGGGTTGGGAGGGGTTTTAAATCCGCATTGAAATGTTTCTTCCCTGGGAAAAAAGGGACTTTTTGTGGGAGATACATGTTTTCTCTCCATACAGTATAGCCAGGTGGAAAATTTAAGAAGCATTTATCCGCTCAGCATAAAGAAAAGCTCTTGAGTTGCTAAGAGGGTAGACCTAAATTTTCTCCACACACACAAAAAAGGTGATTATGGGGCATGATACAGTTGTAAGCTAATGCTACAGTGGTAATTATTTTGCAATATTAAGTGTATCAAGTCAGCAAGTTGTACACCATAAACTTACTCAGTATTGTAGATCAATTATATCTCAATAAAGCAGCAGGGAAGAATCTCTGAATCCCTGCTCTCTCAGAGTTTTGCTACATGGTATTCTCGTGTAATTCTTTATGGGCAAAAAAGGGTTTCAAATTGTTCTAACAGCCCTGAGACTACACAGCCAGGAACAGAATCCACAATCCCACCCAGGTCAGGTCCCACAGAGGAACCCCTGCCCCTCCCTCCAGGTGGGCCCGGATGCCACTGTTCACAGCACTGTCAGCCCGGATGCTGGACAGTGCGCCCTGCGGCTCGTCCTGCTGTCTCTGCTGCTCCTGACAACTGGATGACACTACTGCCGCCTCTGCCACATGTGCCAAAGCGTTCAACACAGTTCCCACCTCTCTGTGTCACCACGTCCTGACTCAGAGTCCAGCATGGGGTCACCTGCCTGGTGGAGCCTCAGGCTGTTTCAACCTGCCAGAATGTTTGGAAGCAGGTTTTTCTCTCTTATGGAGGGAGGTGGTCTCTACCTCCTACCAAGACCTTCAAGTTTGAAATTCCCCTAACTTGGGAAGAGGGTACAGATTCTAGGGGTGGAGGTTGAAGGTGAGGAAGGGAAAAAGAATGACAGATTTCAATTTTTGCAGCAGTGATCTAGACGAGAACTTGACCTGGTACATTGTAAGCAGTCAGGTTGGATGGATGAATAAGTAATAAATGACATCTTTCAGCTTCTTCTGTGATGTTCTGTTATGGGGTCCAGCTTCTCTCTACTCCAGTTTATACTCAGATAAGCAGAGTGCATTTTTCAATAATGAAATGATTACTCAAAATGTCCTCTCCCTACCTTTGTCTCTTTCTAAGCTTAAAAAAACAAGATCTATAAGTCTTCATGGGATCCATACATAAACACTGACATTTTATACTGTTTCATATTTCTTTGTACACGCACATCTTTCTGGGGAAAGTATCCATATCACTTATCAGTTTACATGTGATCCCCACAAAAGTCTTTAAAAAGTATCAGTACTAGTTTAGACACCAAGTTACTCAATCTCTGGTCCATGAGGAGCTAATGATCCAACTGTCTTAGCAGATCCAGTGACATGATATAAATGCTCATCTTTTTCTTGGCAATTACCAGTCTGGGTCAAGATAAAGGTAGTTTACTTGCTTACACTCCCTTTCAATGTCTGTATGTTTCTTATTGTGAGCTGAGAGCAAACATTTCACAAACCAGCACTGGCTCACAGAAGTGATAAAGAATCATTGGTTTGGGTGGACTTGTATTCTAGCACCTACCATGGTGCCAGATAAATAGCAGGAGTGAAAAAATAGGTCATGGAGACTCCATTCCCAGTAACGTGATAGAACTTGTTTTAAGGCTGCCTCTTCCAAAGAAAACAAATAAAAATAATAAAGTATAAAAAACTTCCATAAGTACAGTATCAAGAGAATAATTGTTTAGGCCAAAATATAAACGTGGGTAATAA